AAAAAAAAAAAAAAAAAAAAAAGAAAAAAAGAAAGAAAGAAAGAAAAAAAAAAAGCTAGGCAACTGAATTAGAAATACCATCACAGATATTGGAGCCATATAAGAAGAAGCAAAATTGGGGGTACAGATGGTCAAGTTTTTTATCATGTTTCATAGAGGTAGAGAATGTAACATCTGAGGAGACAAGATATAATGTTTGGGTATGAGTCAGACAGAAGTGTCAAAATAGAAAAGATTTGTTCTTCAGGAAAAGAATATAGAAAACTAAGGACTGAGCTTCAAAGAATATTAGGAAATAAAATATTTTAAAAATCTAAAGAAGAGTAAGGACTGAGATGACTGGAAAAATAGAAAGTGCCTTTCCAAAGCACTTTCCTCTGTATTCTGTTCTGAAATAATTAAAGGCTGTCATGAAAAACTAATTTTTCTTTGGAATTTCAGAAGGCAGATTTAGAAATAGCCAGTGGGTGGATGTTATGGGTTATGGTAGACTTTGAATCAGAATAAGGAACTTTCTAGCAGATGTTCAAAAATGGGATGGGTGACTTTGAGGAATTGTGCCCCCTTCCTCTTGTTAGGTAGACTATTTGGAATATCAAGGACCCCCCTAAGTCTGAGATTCTTTGAAATTATGATATACTCTTAAGGGCATTAAAAGTAGAAGCTACTTTGCTTGAGCTTAGCAAAAGAAAAAAGCTAATAAAATGGCAGCAGCAAATATAGTTCCCTAATTTTAAAAAAATGGCAGAGACAATAGCTTGTCAAGAAAGTAAGTGCACAATAAGAAAGTGATATTTAATTATTTATCCTTGGTTACATAAAGTAGCTGGAGTTTAGTGATTGATGTTTTTCATACACTAGAAGTAACAAGTCCTGAATCCCTAACAGGACTCTGCCCTACTTGCTGTAATGTTACATGAGAACTTGGACTCAAGCTTGAATATAGATGGAAATGAACCGTACTAATTTTCTGAAGCTAATTTTTTTACTCAACTGTAAACCAGCATATTTTTCTTCTTAAGAAAGCATTTAGAAACCATTTGGAACTAGAACCATATTGTTTTTTCTAAAATAACTGAACATAACAAAACTGTAATTTTTAAAATGTTATCTTTTGGTTTTTTGAGACAGGGTCTCGCTATATATAGTTCTGTACTTTCTTCTCCTTCCTCCTCCTCCTCTTCCTCCTCCTCTTCTCCTTCTCCTCCTTCCCTTTCCTCTCCTTCCTCTCCTTCTTCCTCTCCTTCTTCTTCTCCTTCCTCCTTTTTCCTACTTTCTTCCTTCTTCTTTCTTCTTTCTTCTTCTTAACTCACTATGTACCCCAGGCTGGCACAGTGATCTTCCTGCCTCTGCCTCCCAAGTGCTGGGATTATAGGCATGGGCCACCACACCCAGCTGTAATAAAATTTTTTTACAAATCAAGTTCAAATAAAACCTGCATTTCATATATTTCAAATTTCAGCTTTAAACTTTGGAATAATGCAACAGAAATGGAGAAATAAATCATTAATCAGAAGGAAAAATCAGAGTAAATGAATGAGTTTAAGTTAAAAGTTATGTGTTTTGTACCTCATTTAAAATTAAGCTACAGGGCTGAGGATTTAGCTCAGTGGCACCACACCTGCCTTGCAAGTGCAAGGTCTTGAGTGTGATTCCTGGTACCATAAGTTCATGTATTCAAATTCTTGCTTAGTAGAGAGAGAGGATTTAAACCAATTTTAATTAAATGCTGAGTTGGATATATAGCTACTGAAACATTGTATGTGACTGGGTGTTTCAAAATGCTGTTCTGCAGGTTTAAGTGGTATGGTTGTAAATGCCTATATTAAAAAAGACATTCTCAAATCCATGGGCAAACATCAAGACAGTGGAAAACCAAGAGCCAATTAGACCTAAAGTAAGCAGAAGGAAGGAAATAAAGTGTAAAGTAAATAAGAAATAGAAAAACAGTAGGGAAGAAAACAAAAAACCAAAAAAAAAACCAAAGCCAGTTCTTTAACAACCGTAGTCTCAGCCAGGCATGGTGACACATGCTTGTGATCCCAGTACTCAGGAAGATGAGGCAGAAGGATTTAAAGTTTGGGACCAGCCTGGCCAACTGAGGGAGAACCTTGTCTTTAAAAAAAAAAAAAGGTCCAGGGATGTAGGTCAGTTGAGGCCCTGGGTTTAATGCCTAGTACCATGAGAAATATTTATTTTCTAGGAAAAAAAACCAAATTGGTCCAATCCTTGTCAAAATAATTGCAGATCTATCAGATTTATATTTTACATCATATACTATCATATTGATTTTCATCTGTACTATCATAACTGTTTTCGTCCATTTCTTCTTGCACACATGTGTACCTTTAGAAATCTTCAGCCAGGATTTATCTACATCACATTTTCTAAGAGTACTTATTTTTTTGCCTTCTTAGAACTGATACGGCTTACTGTTATTGTAGTGGAACTGATTTTGATTGTAATCTCTTTCCTCTGGAATTCTCAAAAGCTTCCCAGAATATCATGTGCTTTAGTTTACTTTCCCAAATTTGGATGTTAATAGTCTAATAAAAGGGTTACACCTCACTGATAAAGGTTACTCTCGCTGCTTTCAAATGACCAGGGCTCTTAGGGAAAGTCCTGTCTGTTTCTTATATACTATGCCTGTAGTTTACCATTTCAGGTATTTACTTACCACACAACAGATGCAAATATTTTCTCTTAGTGTTTCCTTAGAGTATACATTCTACCTACTTAAAAGATCAAATTAGAGTTTAGTTTGTACTGTGAAGGAGCTGTTTTTGGTGCAACTCAAAGTTTTATTTGAAATTGGTATTTGTAGAAGTTTATAAATTGATTCTAAAATTTTTGTGAAAATAAGAAAAAAAATCCTGTAATAGTTGGGCTATAGTACATAAGCTATCTAATGTAGACTGTATAAAGCTACAATCAATAGAATGTTGCCAGGCATGGTGGTTCATGCCTGTAATCCCAGCTCTCTGGAAAGCTGAGGCAGGAGGGATCACAAATTTGAGCTCAGCTTGGGCAATTTAGTGCCTTAGTGCGACCCTGTCTCAGATTTTTGTAAAAAATGGAGCTGGGGATGTAGCTTAGTGTAAAGGTCCCAGGTTCTGTCATTGGTGCTGCAAAAGAATGTGGTTTTACTACAGTAATCAATAAGTAAATCAACAGAAGAACCAAACTAGACCCAGTATATGTAGTTATTTGATTTTCTATAACTCCATTATAATTCAGTGAAGAAAGGCTTGTCTTTCAACAAATGGAATAACTGAGTATCTTTATGGAAGTTTGATCCTTACCTTATACCAGATTACTTCAAGATAGATCATAAACTTAAAAATTAAAACTATAAAACTTCTGAAAGAAAGCAGGAGAAAATCTTTGCAATTTTGCAATTCTGTCTTAGGCAAAGATGATGTCTTAGGGGACAAGAAGAACAAATCAAAAGAGGAAAAAAATGATAAATTGAAGTTCATAAAACTGCTACTTTTCAAAGAGCACCATTTTAAAAAAAGCAAACTAATGACAAGGCAAAAAAAAATTGTATCCAAGATATATAAAGAATTCTTAATATAAGAAGACAGGCAGCCTAACTTTAAAATGAGTAAAAGACTTCAATAGTTCACCAGAAGTTACAAATAAGCACAAAGAAAAGTTGCTCAACATCGTCAGTCATCAGGGAAACCCAAATGAAAACTACAATAATGTTTCCACTTCACAGTAAAGTAAAAAAGACTGGAGCAACTGGAACCCATACCTTGTTGACCAGACTTTTAAAATGGAAAACCATTTGGCAGATTTTCCAAAGTTAAATACACTTTTTAAAACTGTATTTATTATGGACTCAGCAATTCTCATTCTAGATACCCAAGAGAAAAGACAGCCACACAAGACTTGGACATGAATTTTCATAGTTGCTTTATTTGTTATAATCCAAAACTGAAAATACCTCAGATGTGCATTAACAGATGAATCTGTACATTGGAATGCTACTTGTGAGATTCTGGAACTCTCAAGGCTTGTCCTCTGTGGTGCTTTACGTATATCGGGCATATAAATGCATTGGGGAAATGTTTATTTAAATGACCTTTAGTCATGGTGACTTATTTTATTTATTTTTCTTTGGTACTAGGGATTGAACTCAGGATCTTGTGCTTGTGAGACAGGCACGGTGCCAATGAACTAAACTCTTGGCCCAACAGTGACTCTTTTAAAACACTCTAAGTTTGTTGCTCTGGGATTGTTAGGCTAGATTATTTGTAAAACAACTTGATTCTTGACAGTAGTAAGCCCTTAGCAAAGAGTTCCCTTGAGCCAGGAACACAAGTTGTTTACTGTTTCTTAGTGATGAAGCTAGACCCGGTCTTTCTTGAATGCTGTATGTCAGGCTAATGCATCACAGAATTTGCTTTCTCTACTGGAATCCCATGTATCTGTCAGAACTGATGTCTGTGGATCTGAATGGTTTGTTTTATTTTGTGTATTATTAAGACTATAGAGAAAGGTGTCTCCACAGTCAGCAGATTAACTCAGTGTTTCCACTTTGATTTAATTTTAGTTTTTGTACACATTCTTTAATATTGTTGGCTATGATATTTTTCTTATTTTACTTTTTGTATTTCATGTTAAGGTGTTCTTGTTGTTTCTAACTACCTGCCTGCACTTCGCTCTTGTAAATACAATTGCTAAAAATAAGAACCAAGATACATTATGTGAAGGTACTAGATCCCAATGATGAATGTAACTTTACTGTATACCTAAAAAGTACCAATAAACTCAATGAAAAAAACATACAATTGTTATCCTCAGAGACTTACAGACTTAACAGTGCTTCAGTTTATTAATCATGAATAACATGTCTTTAAGGAAGCAGGTAACTACTTGGTGCAGCATTCAAGCAAGTAAATTGTGGCTTTTGTTTTTTGCTTTCAGAGAATTTAAATGTATTAGTCACTTTCACAAAATGTATCACATGTAAGAGATTAAATTCCTGTTTTTAATATTTTAGGGTAACACTTGTCTGGAGAATGGGTCTTTCTTACTGAACTTTACAGGCTGTGCAGTGTGCAATAAGCGGGATTTTATGTTGATCACAAACAAATCCCTAAAAGAAGAAGATGGAGAAGAAATAGTTACCTATGATCGTAAGTAGGCTTTTTTGGTTTTGGTGTTGTTGTTTTGTTTTGTTTTTAATGTAAAACCTGTTAATGGCCATCAGCTTTGGGGAGTTTTGTATGCTGCAGAGTGTTCTGAGGCATATTGTATTGCAACAACTAGTTACTAGTTAGGTTTTTAAGAGTAAAATATAGTTAACAACTAATTATCTAGTATCAGATACTCTACATAAGTGACTTTTATAAATACTGAAGCTTGTGATTTGGGGACAAAATTTTTTAATTAAATTATTTCTTCAGCAACACTTTAAAGGCCTTTATACTACCTTAAATAAAATACAGAGACTCTTTTACCGGTGGGGTCATCTCTGAGTTTTCACTTTCTATTACACCTTATTCAGTGATGGCTTCTAACAGATATTAAATTGTTTAGGGTTCTTTGCCCCTCTACTAGATGACTCTGGGATGCTATGTGGTTTTTTTTCAGTCTTGTTTTTGCTTTTGTAACTTGTTGCTTGCTTTTATGACTTTTTTTGGAAAGGCCTCTATCTCACCATCAGTTTGTTGTTTCTTGATTTTTGCTTTTATAAACATGCTGCCTTCATATGCTGCTTCTTATCCTCAATGTTGGGAAATCAAATCAATAAACTGTATATATTAATGATAAGTCAGTTCTGAGGGGCTAAGAATGACTATGAGTAAATTAAGTCATACGTACACATTAAGTATATGTGGACATTGTGACAAGTGTTTAAACTGTTCACATCTCCTTCTTGCTTGTCTTGTGGTTCTTGAGTGTATATTGAGTATATTTCTAAGCGTACAGATACTATTTTGAAAGAGATATAAAAGACACCAAGCCGGTAGGGTAGACTGGGTTGAAAAAAATGTCCCCAAAAGGAATCTTTTTCTTCCTTGTAAGCATATATTCCCTTAAGACTGTGTTTTGTTTTAGGCAGTAGGACACAGTTGTCATGAGCAAGAGCTCTGGAGCCAGAATGCTTGGGTTTGAACTTTGGTTCAAACACCTCCCACCTCAGTAGTTGTTCTACTTTCTTAACCACAATGTACCTTTTGTTTCCTATTTACTAAAAGAAGTAGTAATGATAATATTTATCTCATTGAGTTTTTTAGACTGTTTAGTGAATTAATAGATAAAAAATATTTAAGAGTATTTCATGCTGGGGGCACAGCTGTAATCCCAGCACTCTGAGAGGCTGAGGCAAGACAGTTGTAAGTTTGACCTCAGCTTGGGGGACTTAGCAATTTAGTAAGATCCTGTCACAAAAGAGTCAGGGCATAGGCTCTGTTCAATTTCTAGTACCACAAAATTAAAAGAAAAAAAATCTGGCACACAGTAAGTACTCAATAAATCATAGTTGTTATTACTGCATTGTTTTTCCTAGATTCTTTTTTACCATTAAATGCACTTTAATGTCCAGCATTGGTCTTTATTAATGACTGATAATAATATAGTTACAGTGAACCCTCAAGTTACGATCAGCCTGACAATTTGGTTATGAACAATTTGGGTTATGACCAGAAAATTTTAGTTTTAACTTATGAACAGAGTTTTGAGTTACAACCCAAATGCCGGCCACTTTTGCTTCCAGATGGTCTCAGATACAGAGTTACAAAAAAAAATTTTTTTTGTGGGGGGTAGCAGAGATCAAACTCGGGACCTTGCACTTGTGAGGCAGGCAGCAGAACCACTGAGCTAAATCCCTGGCCCGGAAGAGGCCACAAGTGCAAGGTTCCCAGTTTGATCCCCAGTACCCCCCCAAAAAAACCCAAAATCCCAGAGTCCTGGAAAGAACATTATGGCATCCTTTCCTGTGTGGGGTTAATTGAGAAATCCTGGGCAATGTCAATCTACAGACTCTAAGATCTGTCTGTATACATGAGAGAGACTTCAAAAGCTTTGTAGAGTAGTCTGAGCCTTTATTGACCCAACAATCAGCCCTCAAAAATGAATTGATTCATAAGTCAAGGGTCCACTGTACTGTCATTTCTGAGAATTAAGTCTTTTCTGTAGTAAGATAGGTCCAGCTAGTTTAAAAAACACACTTAGGTATCTGTTAATTGGTTCTCTTGGAGAGCTTTCAGTGGGAATTAATGTGTGCACATTATGCCTCTGAATTCAGATCCTAACTTTGTAGTGTTGTTATGATGGATTTTGGAATTCTTATGAAAGTCGGAATTATAACTGGTTTTCTGTTGTGTTACATATGACAGAAGTAATATACTCTTTGTAACATCTTGCTGAGAAAACAACTTTTACTCTTCTAAGACACTTTCCAAGACTTAATTGTATAAGTATCTTTTTGTTTTGGCAGATCTGTGTAAGAATTGTCATCATGTAGTGGCCAGGCATGAGTATACATTCAGTATCATGGATGAATTCCAGGTAAATATATGAATATGGGTAGGTCTTGGGGGGGGCATAATTAAAGTAACCTCGAATATTAGATACAGTATTTATGAATGAAGCTCTAGCAACTGTTAAAGGAGACCATTCCTCTCTTCTACCTGTGCAAATTGAGACAGAAAAGGTGGGTAAATCTGTGAAAACCTGTTTTCACAAATAAAAAGTCAAAGTGTATGCACTCCAAGTGGTATCTCAGTCCTGCCATTTTAATTTATAAAGCACCACTCATATGGCTTCTTGTGAGATTATTATTGTGCTTCCTTTTTCTCTGCCCACCATGCATTTGCACAGTCTTTCCATGCTACCACACTTTCTGGGCGTGGAAGTCTTGATAAAAAGGTTATCTTTATTTCCCAACTGGCATATACAGTTGAGCAGCTCTTGTAGTTGTAGTACAGCCTACAGAGACATCTTAATACTCTTTGTTTAGTAATCGCAAGGTGGGTATATCAGGTTTAGAAGAGGAAAACAACTACTAGAGCATAAGAGATTTAATATAACGTTTAGTTTTCATGCAGTTGTGAGAGCAGTGGAAGAATTAGATGGAATTCTGTGGCCTATAATATAGTCCTGAAATTGATGGAGATTTAAAGATGTCATAGTTAGAAAGAAAGCTGGACAGTAGGGCAAAGCCAGGACATGATGGCAAACCTCTTAGAGCTTTCGGTGATAACGGACAGCCAGCTGTGCACACGTGCCATGGTTTTGCCACCATTGACTTGGGGCAGACTGGATCCTGTGTCTACCTCTTCACCTCCATTTTCAAACCTTTGAGTTGAGTTACTTTATTTTGTGTGAAGTGCATTGTTATCCATAAGATACAAATATAAGCTTACACTGGGCATGGTGGCTAAGGATCATAGCACTTAGGAGGTTGACGCAGTAGAATAGCAAGTTCAAGGCCAGGGGGAATTTCATAGGGCAACCCTGTTTCAAAATATCCAAAATAACTTATCAGGTTAGAGATTTAAATGGTCAAGAGATGGGCTGAGTGTGTAGCTCAGTGGTGGAGCACTTGCCTTTTATGCACAAGGCCCTGGATTTAATCCCTAGCACTGACAAAAAAAGAAAAAAAAAAACTATAAAGAATTTTGTCTTTTTAATCCTTCTGGTTTGGATAGTGCTTTGATTAGGAAAAAAAAAAGATAACCTTCCCTAACAGAGTAATAAAATAGTTGTAAGTCCCCTTATTTATGTTTTATTTAAAGTGGAAGAAAGTATTTAGCCACCTGTCATAATCTGGCCTAATATGTAGTGATCTGAATAACATCATTAGTACCACCTCTTCAGCATTCAAAAATTATGCCTTAAAAAATACTTAAAGGGGGCCAGGGATTTAGCTCAGTGGTGCTGCCGCCTGCCTCATAAGCACAACGTCCTGAGTTTGATCCCCAGTGCCAAAAAAAGAGAGGACTGGAGGTGGTAGAGGGCTTGCCTGGCATTTGTCAGGCCCTGGGCTCAGTCTCTAGCACCAAAAGCAACATACAGTGATAGTTAAGTTCACAAATACTTTTGTTTGTGAATGATTTGGTTTGCAAAAAGAAGCGTCTGGCAAAAATTTGTTTTTGTTTATGAACTCTGCATTGGGCGACAAACCTGACTATGGCCATACTTCCCACATGAACACAAACGTGCCAACACTTCCAGAATTGTGGAATGAATTAAGTTTGTGAACTGAGGTACCTCCGCATTTATGTGATATGGCTGGTTTAAGGCAAAAATTAAGATCTCTTTGAATAAGCAGAGACCAGATAGAGGAATGAACATCTCATGGGCTTAAACAGTTCTGCATTTTTATGAGAGGAAAGGAGTACTTACAGCAGTTTTCTATAAGCTGGTGTGAGCCTTTTGGAGCCCTGAATGCGTGTTGAGATTGCTTGCTTATGTCTTCACTGAGCCACTGTGAATCACTGCCTTGAGACCCAAGTCTGCTTGATTTTGCTTTAATGACCAAATGCGACCATTTTCACGGTGTCCCAGAAATATAGGGTGGGGAAAATAAATGTAAAAAAAGGTGGCTAGTAGTCGTAGTGTCTAGATAGTGTGAATTTCTCTTAGAAAAATTCTTGGCTGGGGGTGGTGGCACACAGTGGTAATCCCAGCACTGTTGGACGCTGAACCAGGAGGATCCAAGTTCAATCCTAATCTAGGCAATTTAGTGACTTAATAAGACCCTGTCTCAATATTTAAAAAATAAAAAGGTACTGGGGTTATAGCTTATTGTGAAGGCCCTGGGTTCAATTCCTAGTACCACCAAAAAAAATTGTTTTAAATGCTCTTAAACTAAACTTGTTGTGCATGGTGGCACACACGTGTAATCCCATCACTCAAAAGCAAAGGCAGGAGGATCGCTGCAAGTTCAAGGCCAGCCTGGGCTACATAATGAGTTCAGGGCAAGCCTGAATTAGGTAATAAGACCCTGTCTCAAAAACAAAACAAAAAACCAGACTCTCAACCTCCAGTCTTCTCTCTGTCTCTCTCTCAGATTTATTACCCATACTCTTTATGTTGTCATCAGATGATTTTCCTTGAGTGCTATTTTCAGACCACCTCATTTGCCTTCCCATAGCTCACCTTTGGCTGTAATACTCTATTGCAGCTCCTGTCCCATGGTTCTCACTGGCTGGGCTGCCTCAGTTTCCTTTGCCACATTTTTCGTGCATCCTCCTTAAGTGTACTGTGTGTACATAGCATTGTCCCAACTTTAGGTTCTTCCTTTCCTCCTTCTAGACAGGAAGGTTTTTATTTCCTCCTCTCAGTGCTACCCTACCTCATTTCCTCAGGGATCACATTTATCTTCTGTCTTTGTAGCATCCTCTTTTATGAGATTTTTTTTTTTTTTTTTTTTTTTTTGAGAGAGAGTCTCACTTAGTCCAGGTTGGCTTTGAGTTCACTATTTAGTCCAGGCTGGCCTCAAATTCAGGGCAGTCCTCCTGCCTCAGCCTTCTAGTGCCACCACATCCTGCTTTGGAGATTTAAAAAAATTTTTTTAACATTAAACATATTAGTTCTTTATTTAAAAAGCCAGGTGTGGTGGCACATGGCTATAATTCTAGTACTATAATTCTAGTACTTGGGAAGCTGAGGCAGGAGGATTGCCCCAAGTTCAAAACCAGCCTGAAACTACAGAGCAAAACCTTGTCTCAAAAAACAAAAACAAAACTTAAAATTTTATTCACATACTTGTGTAATTCATCTGTAATCTCTTTCCTTCCTTTTGCTTCTTTACTTGAATACGTCTTTACCTGTTTTCCTTATTTTCCTGTCCTCCTCTTAACTATCTACAAACTGGTTTTCATTTTTACTTGAATGAAACTATCCAGCCAGAGGTTTCCTGTAATCTAAACAAATCCTGTGATTTTTTTACATCTCTTCTTAAATCTCAACATCTTTTCTGGATCTAGTTTTGTTTATCATTGTCTTTTTGTAGCATTTCATCCCTTGGGTTCCACAGTGCTTGACTAACTTTCTTTTTAAATCACTTTTATTGCCCCTTTGCTTTTTCCTCATTTTCTTTCCTGTTCTTGCCTGGTTCCCCTGAGCTTCGGTCTCTGGTCTGGAGCCTTCTCTTTTCTCCCTCAGGTAGGACACATGGGAGTACTCAGTCTGTTTCGGATTAAATGTCTTCCAGATCCCCTCCCCTGACTCTGACCTCTGATCTGTCCTCCTCCCATCCTTTGTTTCTCTTGCTTTTCTCTGGCTTGACACGAAGCCTCTGCCTGTCATGTGAAGGACCATACCTGCTCAAACCTAAACTTCGTCAGTTCTCCACACTGCTGTGGGGTTAATCTTCCTAAACATGTCGTCCTCTGCTCACCTGTTGACAGATCGCCAAGCACAGCTTCTTTCCCTCTTACGTCATATCGGGTCCGCTTGCTCTTTTCTGTATTGCTGTCATTCATGCTTTTGCCTTGATGTGAATTGTCCTTTTCTCTACCTTCAGCCCAATTAAATCTTACCTCTTAAATTTTTTCCTTGCCCTGAATGGTGCAGCCTGTGCTGTGTTCTCCCTTTTCTGAATTCTCCACACTTGCATCAGGTCCTGAGTCAAGTGAGAAGCCCTGTGGGCACTTCTACCTCAGCCTGATGACCTCATTAGCTTGTCGCTCTCAGCTGCTGTGACACATCCTCATCTCCACCCTTTCAGTGTATTCTGAGTATCTTAGGGGAAATGTACACATAATCAAAAGTAGGCAGAATGGTATATTAATCTCCACTACCCAGCTTCAGGCTCCTTGATATGTACTTCACCATTCCCATATCTCCCTACAGGATTATTGTGAGGTAAATCCAAAACGGTCTCATTGTATATCTCTAAAGATAAAGAATTCGGTTTTTAAAACCGTCATAATAAAGTTATTGCACAAGGTAAGATTCTTCTGATGGCGAGACTAAAAGTGAAGGTGGAAACAAAGTGTGGAAAATACAAGTAGTTACAATTATTGTTTGCTTTTGAAAATCCCCTGGTAAAAAAATAGACTGTGGTGTGTTTACCTCAGGAAATAAGAAGAGAACTGTAAAACTGCTTTCTTTCCTCCCTGGGTTACAAAAGCAAAAGGGAGTATGTATCAGAATTGAATAGGGAGAAGGGAAAAAAGGTCCTAAGGATCTTTCAGATAAAGGCTCTGGCCTTACCTTGGGGTGCTTTTACTGCACCACTCTTCCTTCTAAGTCTATTCCTAGGTGTTGCCCAAGTGGAGCCCCTGAGGGTCTCATGGATGACTGGAAGGTTTCATTTTCCTTACTTGGCCAGTTTTGCTAAGAGGTGGCCTAGTCCCATCCTTAGTAGCACAGGGAGCTGCTTTTCTGGCATCCCATGTTAGGACTCTGTACATACTTTCCCACAGAGCACTGCTTTATATGGTTAGAGTCTATAGCACTTGTGCAATATAATGTAAGAGTTTTAGATATTCCTGGGAACCTAATTGCCACATATATAACATTATTTCTGTGGGCACCTATTTCTGAATTCCAGCTGAATGACTTAACAATGAAATTTGGATTCCAGACAGCCTATAAGTTAAAGATTAAAAGTATAATCAGTCACTGATTTAGTAATTTTGCCAGATTACGTCATATTTGATTTATTCCAAGATAAATTATGTATTTTGTAAGGTCAAACTTTGTCCTTGCCTTCTTTCATATCTGCGGTGTACCTAGCACATTGTAGGCACTGAATATAAACTTGGCAAAGAATAGATTATTTGAAAACATGGGTATTTGTGTGGTGTCTCACGTTTCCTCCTTTTTTTTTGGTTCTGGGGATCGAACTCAGGACCTTGCACTTGTGAGACAGGCTGCAGCACCACTGAGTTAAATCCCGGCCCACATTGTCCTTTTTGATTCTATTACTTTTCTCACCTGTAAGATGTTGCTATCCCACTGGTAATGTGTGGTAGGTTAAAGTAGTAGAAGTACTTGAGAACAGTAGAAGATTTTAGAGAATGTGGATTTTTATTTTATTCTAATTCGTGGGAGTAGTTATTTGTTCTCTGAACTCTAGCCTCTGCATATTTCTATTGTGTAAATAGAGTAGACTTGAAAATAAGTGTGAGGACTGGGAATGTAGAGCATTTGTCAGCCATGCACAAGGCCCTGAGTTCAGTCTCTTTAGAGTTTGTGGTCTTATAGAAGCAGTCTTCCTTCTGCTACAGCTAAGCTCCCTTGCATGAACTTACCAGTAGGGCAAGGAAAGGGAGTTGTCTGCTTCTCAGTGCTTGCACTGTTGCCGCTGCTTCTTTCTGTGGCTTTTTCTTAGCAAGGTTTTTGCTTGTTTTTTGTTTGGTTTGGTTTGGTTTTCTTTTCTTTTTCTTTTTCTTTTTGGTACCGGGGATTGAACTCGGGTCCTTGCGCTTGCAAGGCAGGCCACCGAACCGCTGAGCTAAATCCCCGGCCCTCTGTGGCTTTTCTGATGACTTCATTAAACAAAAGAAGCAATAATGGCCTCTACTGACTAATTTCCAGACAGTAGCAACATCAGGTGTGGAAATTTTTTTTTTTTTTTTAATGCTGGGGATC